CTGCAGGGGATCCGTACCCATTAGCATTAGCAACACCATAACTGTAGACTCCGAATGGAGAGTCAGGGTGAGAAATTTGATAGAAGTTTGCCCCGGTGCTATAGTACATCTCAGCCCAGGAGTAATCAGTCCCATCCACTTTTCGCCAGTTGAACGTTGTAGTTTGGGGCTGGGGGTCAATTTTGATGCCATCCAGGTGTTTGTTCTGAGCCACAACTATAATATAGTTGTAGAAATCTCCCTGTCCCTTCAGGGAGTAGGAGGTGCTGAAATGACTTGTGGGCAGTATAGTCATCAGGAAGGGATCAACAGACTGGACTACGTCATCAGGACCTCCGTTGAATTCAAACAGCACCTGGACACCTTTGTCGGATTTCAAATACATAGGATGTGGCCACTGAGACTGGAGCTCGATAGTTTGTCCCGCAAACATATGGTAACTCTGCACCTTTCCATTGAAATGCATGCTTATTTCAGTGTGCTGGGATGCTTGTACGATAACACTATCATATGTGGAAAATACGTTGCGGTAGGGCAGGGGTGCAATGATGAATTCTTTCCCCCAGCTGTTTACAGGGAGAAGTTGTTCATAGACATGGTTGCAGGCAGTAAACTTCTGAATACAGCTATGTCCGGAGGAGACGGCGACAGGGAGGCGGGACACTACGTTAGTACCTCTCAGGTTATCGTGACTCTGAATCTGAACGGTCTCAAACGGCTCTAGCTTCAGGGACATCTTGCTTTGTCTCCTGTAATATTTCCCTTGGAATCTCACAGAGCCCTGTAGTAAAATCTCAACAAAGTTAGGCTCCTTGTGGTTTGTGATAGAAAATTCTTTAAAGGTGCCTTTCAGGTTGCTGTTAGGAGTGAATATGAAGTAGTCAGTCCCCCAGTCCTTCACTGGGTAAATCACAGAGGTGTCGGCCGTGTACTGCTTAAAGTTGAGAGACATCACAGTGATATCTTGGCTCGCCTCGATCAGCACAGTCTTATTGAACTTTTCACTGCCTCTCATCTCCACACTGTCAGGTAGTTTGAAGGAGCCGCTCGAACCAGGACTAATTTCCTTTTCAAAGACCTCACCCATAGCAGACACCTTGACCTTGGTGCTGCCTTGTGAAGAGGGCAGAGCAGCGACCTCAACCAGGAAACGAGTATCTTTAGTGTCCGCGTAAAGGTTCTGCATGAAAGATGTGGCAAATTCTCTTCCTGCTGGTGAAGCAGAACAGAGTCCTGGAAAGAAATCACAAAAAATGAGAAAATAGGTTAGGAGAAAAATCAAAAAGTAGAGCTTCATCTTTAAATGCCAGTGAGAACAATTTAGTTAGTAAACATAGAAATACCACAATGTAGAAATAATCGGAATTTTATTTAAATAAAATTGATACAAGTATGAGCATGAAAAAATACCAAAAGATAAACTCTTCATGATCAAAAAATCACCCATTTTAGACTATTGTATATTATATTAGTGAATATTGGACAGATATTATTGGTGCATTATTGTTGTCAATGCTTTAATGCAGCTGCTAATAAATGAGCGGATTTTTACCACTTTATATACTTTTTTGATTATAATTTAGTATTCATTATATGAATTTGCTGTAAATACATAATAAAGTCATCAAATAAGTGTGGTGGACCAAAAAACAATACATTCCTAATTTTGCCTCGGCATGTAGGGTAGACGTATGGACTTAATAACATAAATAATCAAGTGAAGTGCTTCAAAATTGTTTAAAGTTATTTTTCACCAATGTTAAATGAAATGACACAGTCTGAAAATGTAAATATAGAAATGTACTAGTTAAGTGATACAACTACGAGGCAAGTTTTCAAACATAAGCACTAGCAGTAAAAAATGTGCTTTATTTTGCTGACTTACCTAGCAGTACAACCACCAGACAGTAGACCGGCCCTTCCATTGTTGAACCTAAAATAATGTAAACACATTGACAAAGTTAACCATACAATAGCATTAAAACAACAGACCACAATCTTAGACACAAAAGAACACTATTCAAATTGTAGAAAATAAGTATCTATTTCCAAGAATAGACAAAATGATGGCTGTCTGACAACTAAAGCATGTTATCATTCAGAAAAGAACCGAAGGCAGGAGTTTAACAAGAGGCAGAAACAGGATTTTGGCACAATTTAACCCACTTCAAAAATTCATGAAGAAGGGAATAAGATTGAAGAGGTGAAAACGTTGACAACACTAATACAATAATACAAAATTAGAGTTTAACTGTATTTTCTACCTCATCAGACTTTAACAAATAAAAGATTTTTGAGCACGGAGCCTTCATTAGAGCATTTCACAATTGTAATAATAAAGCACAAAGGGTATCTTCTAAGATATAAATACTCAAATCAAGCTGTTACAGCAACATTTTGCTTTAAACCATATTTGAGTGGTTTGTTTAAGTATATTTATGCGTCTGTAATATTTGCAAATCAACCTTACCTGAACCACAAAACCAAGGATCCAGTAAAAGGCATTTCGATTTATATCCTTTTATTCGTCTTGGTAATGCAGGGAAAGCCAATCGGGGAGAAGGTGACAGGGCGCGGCACAGATGCATGTCATCAACCAAATCACTAATCAAAAGGCAACACTTTCTCTTGGCAAATATTACAAGTCAGGTGAAAGCCAAATTCTCAACTTGTCAGGGTTTTGTTTAACTAGTTTAAAGAATCACAGGATAATAAATGGATTATGGATACCAAATAACAAAACAAACGATAGAACTATACTTCCATGAGAAAGATATTAATCAAATTAGTCAGTATTTGACATTTGCAGATTGCATTGGCGATAACAGTGCACATATGAAGGGTGGAGGAATGACAAATCTAAAGACACACCCCAATAAACACCCGAAAGCCGAAACACAAAAGAGACCAATCAAATACTGATGGATTTGTATGGACTTAGTCATGATGTTGAAATAAATTGACATTACATATTATACAAGATATCAAATATCTCAACCATCAGCTAGCTTGTGATTCAATCAATCAACTTTCTAACAGAATAATGCCGACAGCTGAAATAATTGTGCGAGAATTGTTTGAATTTTAGGGAAGGAACTCACTGATTGTCCAGCGTGTGCATCCTTCCTTCCTCTCACATGTAGCAAGTCAAAACTCTGTTTGTAGATAACGATATGAGAGGAGAGGTTGAGTATTTCTGATTACAGAAAGCACACTCAGCCTGTTTTTGAAAACAGGGGTTAGCGAGTTTACCATAAAGTCTGACATTTCAGAGTTGTTTTGACACAGGTGCCAGGCTGTGCCAACTCCTATTTTATCCAGTCAGCAAAGCATCACCGACTTACCAAACAAGTGCTCAACACTTTTTTCCAAAGAAAAAGAAATCCACCAAATGAATTCACAGATTTTTCTTCCATTCGTATCATTGTTTTGTTTTCAAATATCCTTTTGACATAGAACATTTGTTTGGCATGTATCAAACATGCTTAGAAGCAGATTTGTTGGTATTATCAATCACAAGATGCAGTTTATCACAGTATTTCTCAAACTCAATCATGCTCTGATGAACACTTAATTCCCAATCAGTTTGTGATGGGGCCTTTTGACAAATCTTACGTTTTCCGCAGTTTCAGGAAAAAGACAACCTACCTACTCACTCTTTCTTTGTTTACAAGTAAGAAACTATATCGGGCAACACTTTACCACCTCATGCTCCATAAATACCAGACGATGTTTGATTCAATTTAAAGTGGACCTATCATGCTATATTTGAAACATATATTGTAGGGCCATACCTATACAAAACATGTCTGTGAAGGTTTTTTTCAAAATACCAAACAGATCATGCATTTTAGCCATGCCTCATTTCGCTCTATTTGCTCTTTTCCAGCCCTGTTTTTGCAAGGGCTGATTCTGTGAGAAGTCTTCTTCGCTGCTATTGTGGCAGACTACAGCGCCACTTACAGGCCTGGCATATGTACTACAGCGTCTCCAGCGCTTTCGAGCGGCAATGGCCGTGGCCGTGGCCCAACCCCCCATTCCCCTGATAGGTGGAGAGTTGCCCATATAGGCGGAGCACCCCTTTTCTGACGTCAGAACAATTCTAATCTGTATCAGCTCCGTTGCAGCCCCATTTTTAGAGATTTGGGTATGGAGGAAAAGAGAGAGGGTTGTGTTTTCTGACACTTGGTGAGTTCCCTGACACACCGGGGACACATATTCATGTATAAAAGACGTACAAAAGTGCATTTTGCATGATAGGTCCCCTTTAAGTAGCAGCACAGACTGTATTACTCAGAAAGGAAACTCCACAGCAGCATTTTGCCTGTGGTATGATCACAATGTGATGAGTGTTATTCTACTGAGGGCACCTTGAACCATAGCTTGGCCTGCTATTCAAAGATTACCTAATACTGGGAGGACTTTTTTATTTTCCAAAATAATAAGTCTGTTATTGTATTTCACACTCCTCATTTCACACAACAGATCAAAGAAAAAATGTTGTCCACGGACTTGCGAAGAAAGTTATGCTCCAGCATTGTTAAACACCTGAAGGCACCACTGGCTTTACATTCGGAACGACTTTTTGCCATGAAAGACAAGTTGGACAACTTTCAACAAGTTGTTCCCTCTCACTCCAACCCACAAAACCATCAAGTAGATTAACAGACACTTATTTTTATTTTAGCTTTGGTAGAATGTTTTTTTCCTCAGATAACAAGTCAACATTTCTGCGGTGAAAAGGGCTTATTACGAAATGTATTATCAGGGCCCTGGATTATTTATTTCCCTTACGAATGCAGACTTTTGAGAACAAATTGTTAGGTTGTCTGTATCAGCAGATATCACTAAGGTTCAAACTCATTACGTTTTTATCTTGACAGGACATGACATTGTGTAGCTGTGTTTCCCATCATCCCTTATACCCCCACTTCCAAGCATTTCACGCCCACAGACTCAGTCCCCTCGCCCATATAAACTGGTAACGTTCAGGTCACAATACCACAAGCAGCTTGTTGGAGAGAAATTTCAAAATTAAAGCTCCTGCTACCATACAGCTATGATTTCGATTGTAGGCCTCTCAGGATTTTGGATACTCGCACTGCTGACCCTCCATGGTGCAGATGTGGGAGGTATTTGCTTTAAGATTCTTCAAGCATTTATACTTAATGTACTCTTCAAATTGCAATGCTGTTAACTTTTGTGCATCTTTCCCACAGAGACCAAGAAAAACTCTCTGAATGAGCCTGACGTGCCTTTCCCGCCTGCATGTCCCACAGCGGAGAACCTTGCTGCCGTCTGCCTCCAGGGTCAGGGTCGTCCCAGATACCTGTCCAGCTTCTTCCCAAAGTCCGGGGTCAGTCACTTCCGTCGCCGTGGAAACTCCATCAACCGTATGGAGTCGTGGTTCAGTCTGTGCTGCAGAGGACAGGAGGACCAGATCCTCTGCTGCACACAACAAGCTGTGAGTGTGTGTGCGGGGGAGAAATGATATTACATAGGTATTTATAAATATATGTATGCAGAGGAAACCTGACTCTTAGCTAGATATATCAGCTTTTGGATTAAATATGAAATATAATTCAGATTCCAATTCGATTGTTATAAAATATTCGAACCTCAAAACAATGAAACTATGATAAATGCATTTTGTAAAATGTTTCCCCTGCTTTAACAAGCACAACTACACTTAGAACTCTTCGTTTTTCATCAGGGAACTCAACATAAAATATAATTTAAATGTCCTCATGTACATGTCTTTTTTATTTGGGGTTATTTTAAAACAAGAAAATACTTTCTGTATTTATGAATATTTATGAAGATTTACAAAAAAAAATGTTTCTTTTAAAATCAAATCATAACACGAAAAACATAATTGATATAATGTAACAATGAAAACTGTTGATTTAAAACATAATTCAGGAACAGGTTATATTTATGCCAGTTTTTATGTGCCTATTCTTAAAGATAGCTACATGGTGACCAAAATGCCTCAGACATTCAGCATGAGTAGCAGATTAAAAATACAAATGACAATAAACGTTTTGAAGAATGACTAAATCATAGAGTAATGTAGTCTTCTGCACCTAATAACAAAGCCACATATTTAACTAAGTGAACAGAGAATGGTGAGGATGTGTGCAGATTGAGCTGATGCTTTTGAGGGGAGATGAAATACCACTTTGTGACACCATGAATGTTTTTCTTACAGTGGAAACAAGCCCTGTCCCAGTTCTGTACTGAAGAGTCTTCCACCATGACTAGGGCATATGTGTGCTGTGCGGACACAGGAGAGGCTCGCTGGACGTGCTTCAACGAGGAGCTGCCAAACCCAAACTATGATCCAACCCCAGGCTACACTGCACCCCCGGTCCCTGAGGAGGCAGGATTCACCTTTGATGCAAATGCTTGCTAAGGGATAATCAACATAACATATACAGTATTAAAGAAAACAAAAAACACCCATTGTATAACTTTTAGGGGGTAAGAAAAATAAAAAAATGGTACAAGATAATAATAAGAGGTATAATGCGATGTATCCTGCCGTTCTTATCAGAGAGGAGGACAGGGCCTGGTTGTGTTCATGCTGAGTAAGGGTGATAACAGCTGAAGTATTATTGTATCTCTGTATTTACCCATGCTTTGTCACAACAACAAGAAAATGTTTTTTTGAATTGCACTCTCTGCACATTTTCACAGTTAACACTCAAATAAGACAGTTTCTGACATGTAATGTTGTATTAGAGAAATAAAGGATGAAATGAAGACAGAAAAGATCTCAACTGCTTTTTTTGTTGTCACTTAACAAGCTACTGATAGTGGACTTGACATACATTGGGACAAATGGTAGCAGGAAATAAAAAACAAGTTGAGTTTTGAAACAAGGTCATGTCATGCACAGTAACAGAAGAATCCCACATGTAATTAAACCTTTTACAAATAGCCCACCAGGGGTCACCGTTTCCTGTAATGAAACACATAGGGTGTGGGACATTCACAGATCTGTGATCACTAAAAAACAGTTTGGAAGTGCTGCTGGGCCTGAATAGCTGGAGCAAAATTCACAAATAAACATAATAAAACATCTTAAAACTGTTTGACTGAGATATTTAAATGTGTACAGTATGTTTTTGTATTTGAACTGTTAATTTGCTCCAGGCCAACAAACGAAAGACCAGATCATTTCCGGTTGCGCTTCAAAATAATTGTGGATCATTCAGAATCAGAACAAATCATCCTTGAGAGTAGGAAAACAGTTGTGATGATAGCAGAAAAAATAAAAATATATATTAAAAATGTAAATTTGCATAGTAGTATAATTGGCACATTTGTGTTGTGAAATTAGTCACGTTATTGTCAGTGTATCAACAGTATTGCAATGGTGAGTGAAATGAAAGAAACAATTAGTTAAGTACACATTTAGGTAATTGTACTTTTAGGTAATTGTGCCTTTAATTTTTCTGAGTCATTTACTGCTTAATCTTTGGTTTGGTAAAACAGGGAAAAGCTGATCTGTAGATTTCTCGACTATTTGCTTCAGTTCTAATTGCTACTTGGACTATATTAATGGATCTAAATACTTACTTGAGTATTTAACTACATACGGCTACATACATATATATCTATATTCAGTGGTGTAATGTTAAAGTACAATTACTCAAGTACTGTACTTCAATACGACGCTTTTGTACTCAGGTAAGATTGTGCATGCAGGGCTTTTGGTTGTATCAAAGTAGTTTAACACTGTAGTATTTCTACTTTTACTTAAGTAACTTCCACCTCTGTCTATATTTGTTCAGCTGGTACGATAAATCTATTTTTTCGGTTTTCTAGGCACACTCTGTTTTATTCTGAAACTAATTTCACCGGAAATTATACTATTTCTTTGTGGAAGAGAACAGAACACCAAACTGCCGCTTCCGCACTGCTTCCTTGTTTATTAGTTTTAGGTGAAATAGTGCCTTCAGAAGAGTAAGAAGTGTATTTATTCTGTCTTTGGAAACGGCGAGTAACTCTCCACAACCTTTCTGAGTGAGTTGGCTTTCTGTTTGTGTGTTTGTTAGTTAGTCATGAGCCTGACTAGCTTGGCTAAAGTTAGAAAAGTTTAATCAGAGTTAGCAGCTAACTTAGCTTCTGGCTTCGTTATGTTAAATGTCGTAATCCAGACTCCTCAGAAAGTTCTTGCTAGCTCGTTGTAGCATTCACTGAATCCTTCCATTTAACTTTATTTCCATTATTCACGGTAACTCTCCTGTCCTGTTTATTTTCAAATCCCCCATCAACAGAGCCAACGTGGCTGCTGTCAATATTTGGGGCATGAAGTCATCTGAGGTGTTTTTGTTAAGTAGCTACTTTTTGTCTACACAGATCTCCAGCTAACTGACGTGCTAACACAGAGAAACGGAATACATTTGATGTCCAGGAGGGAGCCAGGATCTGAGTTTCATCACAACCAAGTCTAGGTTCAGCTTCTGGTCTGAATGGCCACAGCTGCAGAGGAGCCTCCAGGGCTGCCTGGCATCTCTGGCAGTAAGTACTGTTTTATTACACAGTTATACACTACCTTTTATTAGAAGGAATATATCAGATGTATCTGACACGTAAGCTAACCAATGTCTACCAGGGTCCTATGTTCTACAGCTCAATATCCTCTTAATATGACACATTAGGTGATCTTTCAAAGGGTTTTATGTTCTCAGCAATACTTTTTTCCATAGGTACAATGTTTAATGTATGTTTCCATTTGTCAATACGTCACAGCCATCCACATACAGCTTATAGCCAACTGATTTGGTACTATCCGATGCCATCAGATTTGCAGGCATGTTAGTTTTCTTGACTTTAAACGTTGATATGTCCACAGTGATTTGATTGATTAGTTTTTTACCAGACAACCTGGATTTGAAACATCAACTTCCCTTTGTTCTTTTGCAATTTGAACTCTTAAGATAGGTATCACCACCAGTCTCTTACAGTGTGAGATCATGTCATGAGACACAGACATGCCTAAAACTCAACACAAGGCTAGACCAACTCAAAATAGAAAAAAGCAACAGAACAACTTAGAGAGGACGTAGCTCTGGTGCAACGTCATTTCACAAGGTTCAACTTACCATGATCGTGTTTCCTTTTTCAAACCATAATTAGAAACTGTGTTGGACCCTCGGGAACATAAGGATGAACCCTTTGAGATGAGTCATTCACTTACATAGACAGATACATGGACATCGGTTCGGGTTATGGATTTCTTTGGACAAACATGTTTGAGCATGCCACCATTTTATTAGTTAGTTAGTAAGTTAGTTACCAAGGTGGTTAAATAACCTAGATGTCACAATGCAAACATGTATCTTCCTAGTTTAACACACAACCTGTGTAACCCTAATAACTGTAATTCTCAAATGATTTCCATTGGTGTGTTGTACCTCGGTTTCCAGGTAATAAGACATACCTAGCTTAATCTAAAGCCACCAATACTTTTTCAGTGGTACTGAAACTAACAATATTCAGTTTATTATGATATAAAACCGATAAAAGAAGGAACCAAAAACCAAGTGAGTGGAGATAAGCTGCAGGACATAGGGCAATTTAACAAAAATGTTAACTCAGCAAATGTTGTTTTTCTTGTCTAATTAAGTGTTTAAGGACTTTACCACAAATATATTTTCTCCTTAAAGTGTAACATGACAGAATTTCGCTGTAAATAATTAACCGATGCAAACTGATAGGCACACAGTCACAACATTTTGTTTATTCTTAAAATATAAAAGTAAACTATTAAGGGCTAATGTTGACTTTGGACTCCCAGAAACCTACCTATCGACTTTAGCATTCATTAATTAGCCTTGTTTGAACCCACGTTAATAGTAATAGCATACTTATCTAATTCCTCCCATTGCACGCAAAGACCTGCAGACTCAGTTCTGGAGGAGACTGTCTTCTCTCAGAGGTAATGTAAACGAGGTGCGTCTGCATGCTTGTTTCAAAGCTGCACCCTTTGTTTTCCACAGTAGTTAAAATGGTAGATGCTGTTTCAAGCTGTGCTGTGTGATATGTATGCATCCAGTGTGAGATTGCATTTGTCGAATTACCTATTTTCTATTCCTTTTTGTGTATTCATTTCTAAAATGTTTGCTCCTTCCCTTTTTCACTTCAGTTTCGGCTGCGACTCGAAAAAATGCGCTTCCGGAGGTAAGAAATAACTGATTTGTTGGTAGGAAATGCGTAATCTAGCTATGTGTCAATTAGGAAACACACATTGCGTTCATCTTTACAAAGTTTACAGATTTTCGGCTGACACATCATCTATTCCTTCCTCTTTGAACAAAGTACAGAATATTACATTTGAGTGATTTTCCTCTCGTAATTCTCCTTTCCACCTTGTTTCTACCAACAGAGTCCCATCACCACCATGTCTCCGGCCATGAAGAAAACCATCGGCCATCGAGGAATTGACACCACGGGGGAGACGACGTACAAGAAGGTAGGGCCGCCATTGACTGACACACATTTACTCACTTAGAGCTGCCAATTATTGTCGCTTTAATATGACTTTTTTTAGAGCCAGACGTGACTCTTTCATACTTTTTGTTTGTCTGGCCAACACTCCAAAACCCAAAGGAATTCAAAGTGTTAACAATGTATTGAGTCTTACCTCAAAAAGATGACCTGACATTAAATCCGATATCAAAATAGCTGTGTTGATTGTCTAATCGATGAATTAAGTAACTGTTGCAGCTCTACTCTTACTGTTAATGTATTTTTAAAAAGCCTAAAAAGCAACATGTTATAAGATTTTATTAGTCTGTTTCTTGGCCAGTCCTGTTATTGGGATTGATTATGATGATAGAGATATATAGACATATATATTTGTTATTACATGTGAGATTGCTCTTTCTTCCAGACAACATCATCCGCCCTCCAAGGCGCTATCCAGTTAGGCATCACACACACGGTGGGCAGCTTAACTCAGAAACCTGAGAGAGACGTGCTGCTGCAGGACTTTGAAGTGGTCGAAAGCATCTTCTTTCCTAGGCGAGTCTTAAATATTGTGTAGAAGTAATGATGTTTTGTCTGTGCTACATTATTACTTCTTTACCTAACTCTTTATGTAGTCTAATCCTCTGGCTCTTTTGTATTTTTCTGGCAGTGAGGGCAGTAACCTGACACCAGCCCACCACTATGGAGACTTCCAGTTCAAGACGTATGCCCCAATGGCCTTCCGCTACTTCAGGGAGATGTTTGGCATCCGGCCTGACGACTACATGGTATTCTTGTTTACTCAGCATCTTATATGTTCACAGAAAATGTGCTACATGAACAGTATCGAAAGAGAGATGTGAACTGTGAGAAGAAAGGTGTTATTGAGGAAGTGAAACTGGGGAAGTGTGAAGTAATCGGGTGTTGACACTTAATGTGAAGGTGGAGCTGCGTCTGATGTAAAGGCATGGCTGATCTGTTTTGACTCCCTCCCCTCCCTCTTTTCAGTGCACACACAGTATCACTGATATGTTAATCTACACATTCTTATTTGCAGATAGAATAGATACATCAATACAATAATGTAAATAATAACCAAGGGTGACGCATACAAAGTAATTGATTTTGATTTGATAATAGGATATAAATATGTTTAAAAGTTGTTAACCAACTATGTGATACAGGGCAGTCACACTGTAAAGGTATCAAGTCCCATCACATCTGATTTCAAGAACCTCAAAGTATCCCTGATCCAGTATTTAAAAGTCTAAACAATTAAACAGCAATGTGTTGCTTTAGGTTTGATTGTCGGTTTAGTAGAGGGTTACATTCAGGTTTTATAACGAAAAGATCTGTGAGGAGGTTGGCCAGCTTGTTTCTAACCTCTGAGTCTGTGTTGTTTGTCTGGTTACAGTACTCTCTGTGTAATGAGTCGCTGATAGAGCTGTCAAACTCCGGAGCCAGTGGATCTCTCTTCTACGTCTCCAGTGATGATGAGTTCATCATCAAGACAGTGCAGCACAAAGAGGCGGAGTTTCTGCAGAAACTGCTTCCAGGATACTTCATGGTAAGATTTGTTGAGTGGCTTTATGTACAAGATGGTATCTGCAGAGAAAAAAAAACTATGGACTGAATCCTACTCAATATACTCTTGTACATTGATCCCTCAAATTCAAAGTATCTTAGATAGAACTTGTGCTGTTACAATTTAACTCTAAGAATGAGAATTAATCTGCAGTTATTTTCATAATCCACTACTCTTAAAACCTGCTAAGCCCCACGGACCCTTCGGCGGGTCCGAAACCACAACATCTGCAAGCAACAGTGTCTGAGGGCTTCTTAAGATTGAATAAACTATGAATGTTTCATATCCATGTAACGGGAAGAAACTCAGCTAACTGATGATTTTTTTATTTTTAGCAAAAAAAAACACAAGGCTAACGCTGAGCCTCTGAATTAGCCCTGAGCGAAAAAATGCTAACGCCGTTAGCACAGAACTCATGGTATAACACCCTTATTACTTATCGTAACTGCACATCCAACCCATTGATTAGCATCGTGAGAATACACAGAATCGATAGGTATCTGTATCATCACTCCATGATCAGAACTTGCGACATTAGAAACAAAAACAGACATCACAACACGTGGCATTAGGTAGCAAACACGGCAATATGTCTTACCTTTGTTGTTGTCTGATCAAAAGTTGTCTTCAATGGCATTAAAACGATAAAAACGCTGCTGAAGGTTAATCCATAGGTTAATCCAATGTGTCTGTGTCACTTTGAAATGATTTCTGATAATCCATAAGCAATAAACCTAGTTTTAAGTTTTCAGATTTCAGAGCGTAAATTAGGTTTCGCTTTAGGCAAACTGCGTGTGCATAGCTCTCATTTCTCAATGGAAACGTTGGTGTGTATGTGGAAATTCCCCTTCGATTCTATTGGCTCTAGCGATTCAAAAGAGATGTCAATCATCAAAATCGACCAATGGGTTCCAGAGAAACGGCAAATACGCCCATTTCCACCCAAATGACGGATGGGTCATTTCCACCTCCAGAGGTGGAGCTTTTTTTGCTAAATCTCTCTAAAAAGGTCAAATGTCACTTGTTTTGCATTAATCTTCATACAGGGTACTTATTATATGTTGTACTTTGGATTCCTAAAGCTTTTAGTCTACTAACCCATCATCCAATGGTGGTTTTCACTATAAGTAAAAAATACTTTTTGGACGGACACTATAATTTACAGTTTTTTACTATGTTCAATCTGAATTTTCTTTAAAATAAAAAACATCTATATTGATTCTGACTTTTCTACATCCAACTCACAGGTTTATCATTACTTTGAGAAAAAAGATTATTAATTTTCCCCTTTTAGAAGTGAAGATATGGTCATTTGTTCTGGGAATGTCATTTTCGAGCCTGAGACCTGAAAAACAGGCTTGGGGCTTAACAGGTTAAATCCTAGTCCTTTTTTCATGCAAAGCATTCCATGAACTGGCTGTAGCTCGTTCCATGCAAATTTCACATAAAAAAAAAAACACCTTTTGGCTTTAGTCTGTTGGTTTGAAAGTATGATAGATTTGAATACATTTCATTGCGCATTTAGAAATACAGTCATATTGTAGACCAATGATCCTGAATTTAGGGGAATTCATCCACAAAAAAGACACTGGACGCTGCACTAGGTCAGAAACCAGAGGAGACTGAAGTCCACCGTAGAAGGACCACTTTTGGACAAAATGTCTTCTCCATTAAAGGAAGCTCTTTCTGGAATAGCCTCCCAACTGAGATACGGGATTGTCCCACTCTCAATAGTTTTAAAGGTCAACTCAAAGAATGGTTGAGAAACAAACAGACAGTGCAATCACCGCTAAATGCACTTTAATACAGGGGTATCTCCTCTTGCACTTTATGTATCTCTTGTATCTTATCTTGCACTTTATATGTCGTTGCTGCTAGATTGTACTGCCATGTGGTAAACGCTTGTATGCTGCTCTTGCTCTTTTTGCATATCATGTATTTATTTTTGCTATGTTTATAAATGTCATGTTCTTATATGTTGTATGTGAGGGACTGCGGATGGAAATTAGCTCAAAGCTAAAATCCGGCATATTGTCTTAAGTGTTCATTAATGTGCATTGTCCCTGTTCAAATAAACGATTCAATGAAATGAATGAATCCTTAGAAAAAATTAATCATTAGATTCTGCTTTAACAGATTTTAAATACTTAGATTTTAACTCTCAATCCAAATATTACCCCTACATGATTTGATTGTCTGTGTCTTATTTGCACATTCTCAAATGATACACACCGACTCAAGATTTCTTAACAATGTGGGATGATTTGTTATATTTTACTAATTTGATTTATAATTTATGTATTTTTCAGTTTAGTCAACCATTTCGTTTTTTAATAATTTAAATCGCTTCTTTCTTCTTCTCTGCCATCGTCTAGAACCTGAACCAGAACAAGCGGACCTTATTACCAAAGTTTTACGGCCTGTACTGCGTCCATGCAGGGGGTAAGAACATCCGCATTGTAGCCATGAACAATCTGCTGCCGAGCTCCGTACGGATGCACCTCAAGTACGATCTGAAGGGCTCCACCTACAAGAGACGAGCTTCAGCTAAAGAGAGGGAGAAGGCCGTGCCCACATACAAGGACCTGGATTTCATGCAGAACATGCAGGACGGGCTGTTACTGGAGGGGGACAAGTACCATGCTGTTTGCAAGACCCTCCAGAGAGACTGTCTGGTGAGAGAGCCACAGTGATGCCTGCTTAAACATGACACTACACACAAGATCATACACAAATCAGTAATAGTAAAACACATCTGCTTTTTTTCCCTCATATTCTTCTTTTTCTAATTCATTTGTATTCCCATTTTGGTGTGTTCCTTGATTTCCTTCCAGCTTTTGCAAAGTTTTAAGATTATGGACTACAGCCTTCTGGTGGGAGTCCACAATGTTGATCAGGCGTGTTTAGAGCAAGCTGGCGAAGAGGCAGTTGCCGGGGCAGCGGACCAGAGGAGGCCGCAGGTTCAGAAGTCCCTCTACAGCACTGCTATTGAGGCCATCCAGGCTGATGTGGGGCGCATGGGATCACAGGACACAGAGGACAAGTGAGTGACTGATTTTCAGTTGCCAGAGAGCGGTCATGTTTACTGAAATGTGTTAAATCTAATTGTTTTTGTTTGAATTTGAACAGAACTGGAGGAATCCCAGCACGCAACTCAAAAGGCGAGAGGCAGCTGGTGTATATTGGTATCATTGACATTCTGCAGTCCTATAGGTAAGCACATTTTATTAAGTTTAATCTACAAACCCCTCATCCAGTCACTGATTCACTCTCTACACTCTCTTCTATGCTCTCTCTGTGTTAACCCAGGATGTGTTCAGGCGTACTGAGTCTAATCTGGGATATATGTGTTGTTTTTCAGATTTGTAAAGAGGCTTGAACACTCGTGGAAAGCGCTGGTTCACGATGGGGTAAGGTACCCCCACTCTTATCAGATAATTGTGTTATAAATTCAAAATATTCACAGTACATGTAACCCGTGAATCATTCCTCTTCTGTAGGATACTGTATCGGTTCACAGACCGAGTTTCTACGCAGACCGATTTCACAAGTTCATGTGCAATGTCGTCTTCAGGAAGCTATCATGTAAGTAGATATTGCATTCATAACTCTGTTTTCACCATCTTAACGATTGCACTGTGATTGGATTTCTCAAACTACTTGTAGATCTGGTCTGGGAAACATTTGGCCACAAATCTTTTATTGTGTAAACGCTAATATGTCTTGATGCATCGAGACAAGGACGTAGCGGGAAAATACGTCATCAAAACCTCTTGTGTTGTTCCTCCTTTCTTATCTCTAGTTGATTCTCAAGTTGCTTGTGAAGTAAAATAATAACAAATAGGCTCTGTAGTCCAAACTAAAATGGCAAACTTTTAATTGCTCCCATATGATGTTAACACTGCATCACTGCTTCCCATAGGTAACTTAATAACCATCAGATTAGTTCGCTTACACTGGCTTTGTGTATGACGTCTGAAATGTCAAAAAAGACCATATTGATGTGAGTGCATCAAACATATTTCGCTATTTGAAATTCTTTTGGGTTTCATTTTTGGCAGACACGGATCGAGGAGTGTATTACCGCCTCGTCAAAAACAACAATGCATTTGGTCTAGGCAAACATAAATGATATGTTGGATTTGAATGAGATCTGATCACTTGAGATACATGTTGAGACATATTCTAATGGGTGTGTGAAGTGAAGTACTTCCAGCTGCGGTAGGATCACTAAAGAGGAATGTTAATGCCAGGTGCAAACAAGGTCTGTGTGCACGAGTATGAGCGCTGGAACCCTGCGGTGCAACACAGATCACAACTGTTGCCATGCAATAAAAGTTTGGGATTCCTGTTGGGAGCTTCCTCCGTGAGACCTATTTCTTGCCTTGGATGCTGCTTTAATATCCTGCCAATAGCAAATAATATGGGTCAACATGGATCCCTTTAAGCCATTCAACAAACAAAGTCACAAACATATTATGGAATGCATCTTGGCACCAGGATTGCATTGCCACACCCTGTGCAGCGCCTCTGCTCCTGTCAGTGCACACTCGTGCCCTGACACCAACATTGAGCCCATAATGTCTGAGTTTAGGACTGTTCATTGATCCTTTTTCCTCTTGTATGTAGTGAAGACCTCGCCAACTAAGAAGCGGCGAGCCGTGTCACATGCTCCTCTGAGAAAGCTGGCTGGACCGGGGCCTCCTCTGTCGACTCAAGTGAGCATCAACAGCCAGCACCCTGTTTTCCAAAGTCAAAGCAGCAATGAGACCAAAGAAGAAACCGAAGGAGACAAAGGTAAGAACTGGAAATAGGAATTGTATGTTTCAGCTGGAGTGCAGAAAACTCATTCTGCTTTGTGCAGATGAAGTCCTCCAGCGTGTCCCAGCATGTGAAGTGCTTCTCTCACAACACAGCAATAACTGTTTTCCCTCCCGTTCCACCCAGTCCTCCAGTCAGGTCGTCCTGACCTCCTCCCAAAGACCTTACCGCCCAGCAACGCTGTTGGCAAACCTGCTGAAACCGCCTCCTCCACCTCCTCCACCTCCTTGGGAGACCCTGCTCCAACAAGTCAGCCTCCGCCTCCCTCTGAGGACACATACATGTCGGTGGGAGTGGATTTAAACAGCACATCGAGCAAAGACCAGGAGCACAGCACCACCAAGAGGTAAGAGGAAAAATACTCATGAAGATGTTTTTATATGAGAGATCCTCAGCAGGATATTTAAATGTGTTCGGTACTTACATAGATTATAATAAAGATTATAATATATATATACTCTAAAAGGCAATTATAAAATGTGTGTTTTTCTTATATATAATTTAATTTAAAATAACATTTAAAATACTGTTAGGAAGGTTTTTCTTGCAGCTTATTGTCGCAAGCCATCTTCAATTTAATCCAATGTGTGAATGGCTGCTTCTGTAGCAGCTCAAAGCCATGTAGTCTGGGGTGTGGTTAAATCGAGTGCAGCTTAAATACAATTTGAATTTATTGATTTGAATTTGAATTGGTGGTTGAATTTTCCGCAACTGATTGCTTCCATTAGGTGCTTTCACACCAAGTACTTTTCCCAGGAATAGTTCCCGGAACTTAGTTCCTATCCTATCTAGTAGATCGCGTTCACACCGGAATAAGTCCCTGAGGGAGGATTACGCAAATGAAGCATGGATGTATAATAAGAACTATACAAAGGCTATACAAATGTTCATACTGGGTAGTTTATTTAGTTTATTAGAAGCTGCTGGGACTCCCACTCTACTGAAGCCTTCCGAGTAAATCGCCAGAACGCCAACACCTCCTCATCACTCCACCGCTCCCATGTTTTCTTTTGTGTTGCCATAAGTTATTCTCTCTCCGTTGGTGCGATGGGCTAATGCTAATGCTAATAATGCTAATGCGAGCAAATAAAATGGCTGCTTCACAAAAACCTTTCAGAGTTTTACGGGGCGTGGTTTGCAATTCGCCCAGCCAATCAGAAATTGGAACCTTTTTCTCCCCAGGAAAGTCCCTGCTCTCTAGCAAAAAAAGCATGGATGTATAATAAGAACTGGATACAGCGTGGAAGGCGGGACCTCGTTCATTCCTATGAGAGTTGCTCATTGGCACATGAAGAATAACGTTATTAGCACATTTTACAACTTGAGGACCGAATAAGGGCTATACAAATGTTCATACTGGGTAGTTTATTTTCCTCAGAGTCCGGCGCACTTCCTGGGGGCTTGCTAAAAAGGGGTGAAAAGGTTTGCAAAAAAAAGTTCTATTTCCAGATCTTTTTGGTGTGAACGCAAAATCCCAGGAACTATCGGAACTACTCCTGGGAAAAGTACTCCGGCGTGAAAGCGCCTATTCACATGACGCATAATGAATACAGGAAGTTCTGTATTGATATTTGTATCACTTGACGGGTCCTGGTATTGAATCTGGTATCATTTCGCCATTTCAGCCCAACCCTTGTCAATAATGAACATTTTTAGTTGCAGATAAAAAAATTATAATCTTTATGGTTAATGAGGCATTATCATTTTTTATACAATTTTCTGCTTTGGTTTAAGCCTCAGAAAGACCTTCTGTAAAGGCCTCGTACAAATCCCATCGATCGTGCTGTTAATGGCTATGACTATTACACTGGTATACCTGCAGAAATGTCAACTAACCAGAACCTCAGGAAATACGGCGTGTTGAGGAAGTGGAGCGTCTTAAGAAGGGACATCTAGACTTTTAAATAACAACCTAACTAAAAACGAGGAATAGTTTATGTATACTTTTGGAAGTAACTAGAAGGATTTAAGTGAATAACTTTTTATCAGATCAGAAGTTGTAATTTTGTTGTATATTCGTTTTTTTCACAATGATTTATATTGTCGTATTGTTCAATTTCACTACTCTGCTCCTGTGTTGCTTGCAGAACTCAGTTTGAAGAAATCGGTTCTGTGGAGGTCATCTCACTTCGTGACATTGTTCCTGCTGCAAGCAAATGCTCTGTAAGTTAATAAAATCCTCTGAATCTTGTGACACCTTTAGCTCATTCTGGGTATTTTTCTTTTTTAATTGTGTTCATTGTTTTTGGTTTACAGGTGTAGAAAAATGAACTCAAATGAACAGAGACAAACTTGGAAGATGTTATGAGCACAAATGTTACAACCTCTAATTTGGTGAGATTTGAGGTAAAGTTATATATCGTTTCAGTGAGACCAAGTGGGATTTTAAATGTTTTTTTGTTTAGTTTTTGCACTTTTGATTTCCAAATCTCAACATGGTGTGAGCATGTTAGCGGGTGGTTGTGTCGGACACTAGTGATTGCGGGTACATCAAGGCTATGGTGCTTATTGAACACTATTATTCATCTCATAGGAAAGCTTTTTTATGCACAATCAAGGATTATTCTTGGCACCAATGTGCCCATCTCCATTTAGAGTGTAACAAGAGGACTTTGCCTTATTTGAGCACATCTTTATTTAAGCAATGTTATCAATCGAATTTTATTCTTTTTTTTATTTCTCCTTCTTTGGTGTATAACAAACGCTGTCGCACATCATCATGCATACTTGGAAGTGTCTCAAGCCCAGAGTATCATGTATGGCTTGAATGCTTTAACACAAAACCATGTCATATGTGTTTCAGAACACAGTTTTAAATAAAAGTTTAAATTTTTTAAGGAAATTACTGTATTCATAATGGGTATGCTGCCTTTTTAAAGTCTACTCTTAATGCAAACCATGCTAGAAGAACATGCCTTTTCTATTCAACCAGCTATTATAATAACTGACTGTGAATTATAAATGACTCCTCTCATGTTCAGGTCAAAAGGTTTATTGAAAGCAGTGTTTATACTTATAAACTGTACGATCTGATATCAATTTCAGGCCTAGTGTGTAGATGTCCAAATGTGACGCAAGTACTGGTACTCGAATGGCTTTAAACAAAGCACCACAACAAACCCTGAGCTTGGGTCTGCCTCATGAAGCAAGAATAGTGAGTTAGTCAGCTAAGTTTAGTGTGGATAAAAGAACCCCTTACATATGGGCTGTGAGGGTGAAAATTCCCTTTTCTTACAGGCCCCTTTCTTACAGGATTTAAAAAAACAACAGCATTTAGTTTAAAGTGTCATGTACCAAAGTGTATGACATTATTACAAATGCAGTACAATCATCTTGTTTTCATTATAATGTATTACATTGGTATTATAATATAATACATGTTTGCAGTACAAGGTGTCCCACTACGTCTCTAAACATGCAGGGCAATGCTAACTTAGATGTACCTGTAGTCTATAAACTATTGTTTCATAGTATTCCTATTTGTTCAGTGTAGTATGAACACATTCTAACACTGCAGCCACTGCACACAAAACTGTTTGTTTCTTTTTGGATGGTGTCTGTGTGCGTGCTTGCCGTTTTATCTTTTTACATTTCATCCACGAGAAAAAAAGTTTGCCGAATGTCATTGGGTGGGATGCAGTGGCCAAAAGAAAATTAGCAATATGGTTTCACAGGAGTTTTTGACTTTGTTGCTGAATACTTCAAACTATACACACGGGGGGTACCAGATTTTATAAAGTATTTTTATTTGCAAGTTGGCACTATTTGTGGTCCGATGCTATAAATGAAAAAAGCTAAGTATAAACTCAACATGGATTATTTAAATTTGAGTAATCTACTTCCAACACCTCTACTACTTATGTCAACCATATATTAAGTGTATTTTCAACCTGATTCATGTTTGACTGTTTTATTATTTTAAGCTTTTTGTATTCCCGTTCCTGCTTTTATATTCCAGTGGGGCTTCTTATGGTTAATGGTGATAATAATGACGTAAATATAACATTTGTCATCTTTTAATAAAATCATTAAGAAAAAGACACAAATTGTTAGTGTAAAGTGTGTTGAGGCTCATAAACTAAAGAAATATTTTTGAGACAGGCCCCAACCAAGGCATAGTTGTAATTTTATTTGTCTTAATTTAACATTGAAAGATTCTTTGACCATGCAACACAAATCTTTGTTTACATCGTATATATTCCTGAATGATAAAACGATGCATAACATTAAATTTAATCGATAATATTCCCACCAACATAAGTTTAAAAAGCATCATTTGGGTTCATTTATACATCCTGTAAATTATATTTTATTCTCCTGGCTGTTCAATCTGTCAGCCAATTAATTATGTCCCCATATTTAAAGTAAAACTGTTTCTCATTGAATAAACTCCAAATCAGTGACACATGCAGCCTATGAACCTAACATGTACATAGTTATATGTATTATAGTATTTATTACTGAATGTATTGCTCTGGTGCCCAGAACGTTTATGAATAGTGATAATGGATTGAAAATGTGCCTTTCTATAGCACAGCAAGCCTGTATCTAAGGCTGCTTTTTTAAATCATCATGTATTTCTTTCTGTATACTTTGTTAGTTGGTCTTCACTTGCCTTTGAATTATATACAATAAATGTGTGCACATCTATGCAGGAACCACAGCAAGGCCTTTTCACAGATTATGTATTTACAAGGGATGTACTGTTTTTCTACACTTGTACCTGAAATTATTAAAGAAAAAATGTGCTTGCAAAATTGTCTATGTTGATTTGTTTGCATTATACAGATCAACCTTAAGTCTCTTTTAGTGTTTTGCAGTATGCTATAAATACTGCAAGACAATATAAATGTTGAGGTAGCTTTCCATTTTATATTTGCAATTTAATAAACATAACTGGCTTGAAATGTAAAGAAAATAACCAATTTCAATATAATCTTAATATAAACATTGACTTACAAATTGTATTGACTATGGCCTTTTTATCCATGGCTACTCATCTAGTCTGTATTTATACAGAAAATTAAATTATAAATAAGAGGTCCTATTTGAAGCTATCTCCATGATGAGGTCAAAGCAATAACGTATGCTATCTTTCAACCACAAGGCACATCCAAGTCCCCAACACAACCTACAAATAGGAATTCATAAACAGATATTGAGTGAAATAGAATATATAACGTTGAATTAAAGTGAATATTGAATATGAGATGCACTTGAAAGCTCCAGAAAAGGCTAAAAAGCGGACTTTTAAGTTAAAGTTTAATATTATTCTACTTTCTTGTTCATCAACAAATTACTATGTGAAATACAGATCACAAAGCCCGGCCAATCAGATTCCGTTTTGTTCAGCGTTTGTCCAATAGCCTGTGAGCTTGTAAGGCTACGACAGAGAGCAACAAGAAGTTTCCAAAATGGGGCTGGAAAGTACTATGGTCTGGTAAGAACTCTACAAATACCATTTTTTGTGTGCATTTGTCGTCATGTTTACGGTTAATTCAGCCTTTATTAAATAATTACGCGACTTAGTCGTTTTTTGACCTGTTTTTGAGCAAATGTCCCGTTTAACTGAGCTGATTATCGACCGTTGACGTTTAGACGGGCTGAGTCATTGTAGCTCAAGTTAGCTGAGATATGCTTAGATTTAAAGTATTTGTTTAGCTGTAACTCATACAACCACATTGACGAATGTTATTCGTTACAATTGAGTGCTTTCTATCGAAACTGACATCTTCCGTTGATTTGATTGTTGCGACTTATGTGCTAAAACCAATTGCTATCGTTAGCCCACCATGCTAATGCTGGTTTTCTGACGACGCAATTTAACTACATAGTTACCTCCCGGTGAAGACGACGGAGATTTCCACACGGAGCTGACTGTGAAGCGTAATTGAGATGTTTTAACAATGTAAACTAGCCTCTAGGCCTCCCTAGGCTAACTAACCAGGTCACAGTAGATATGGGAATGACATGTCAGATGCTAGCTGGTGAGCTAAGTAATGCTATAAGAGCAACGTTAAACTGATATTTTCTCTGCAGTGTGGACAACAGTGAATACATGAGAAATGGAGACTTTCTACCAACGAGGCTACAGGCTCAACAGGATGCTGTCAACATTGTTTGCCACTCAAAAACAAGAAGCAATCCGGAAAACAATGTGGGCCTCATCACAATGGCAAAGTAAGTAGTTCTCTCAAAATGGTCAAAGTTTGGATGATCATCGAAACGTTATTTTACAGCACAGTTGGTGTACGTTTTTGAGCAGAATTACAAAGTAAAAAAAATAAATATATATAATAAATATATAAAAGAGAGGATGAAAACCCACAGGGCTTACATATATAATGGTCAAAGTTTACAATATTACACACATACAAATTATATGACTACATTATAGTAATGGCAAAATATCTGAAAAAAATAAATATATATATATATATATAACAATACCAGTACAAAAAGCAAATGTGATTGTCTGATTTATATGGGTTTGTGTGTCAGGGCTTGTGTTTTGTAGGCGAGATTTGTGTTACACCAGCCAAAGTAGAGTTCTGCTGGTTTAATTGCACACGGCCGATGATTATTATAACTAACCATAGATGTTTGTCATGTTTCCATACAGTAACGCGGAGGTCCTGACAACACTGACTCCAGATTCTGGCCGCATCTTGTCCAAACTCCACGCTATCCAGCCCAAAGGAAACATCTGCTTCTGCGTGGGCATCAGAGTGGCTCATGTGTGTAACTTGAATATGTGTGTCAAACTGAGTAGAAGGAGCTCTATTTATTGCTAACTAAATTGGTGGACAAAAAACAAGAAAAGGGGTTTTGGTTTCTGCTGCATCAGTTTTTGAGTACCTGTATTTTTGATATGTTTTTCCTGCACAGTTGGCCCTGAAACACAGACAAGGAAAAAACCACAAGATGAGGATCATTGCCTTTGTTGGGAGTCCTGTGGAGGATAATGAAAAAGAAGTGAGTTGGAAGTCTTGTATCACATTTTGTGCCAATCCCACACACACAAATTCCTACCCATTATACATCATACGTTTAACTCTTTTCACACTGTCAATATCACTTCAAATGTTTTTCCTCATCTCACTCTGCAGCTTGTCAAGTTGGCAAAGCGCTTGAAAAAAGAGAAAGTGAATGTGGATATTATCAACTTTGGAGAGGAGGTAGGAGTTCTGAATTTATCTTCTATTGACAAAGGATAATAACCCACAATATAGTATTTTCTTGATTTCCATTACTGAAATGTCTTCCCCTTTTTTCTAAATTAAGTTTCAACTGACCACCTGTCTCCTTCTGTTATTTTCAGGAGCTGAACACAGAGAAGCTGACTGCTTTCATCAACACTCTGAATGGGAAGGAGGGGACCGGCTCCCACCTGGTCACCGTCCCTCCGGGGCCCAGCCTGGCTGATGCGCTGCTCTCTTCTCCCATCCTGGCCGGGGAAGGAGGCTCCATGATGGGTCTTGGTGCCAGTGACTTTGAGTTTGGTGTGGATCCCAGTGCTGATCCAGAACTCGCCCTGGTAAGCAACGTTTGGATGCATTTCAACTGCCAGTAAACATTGTACACTACTTATCAGGAAAAATATTTGTAAGGAGTAATTGATGATTTATAGTTGTGCAAATAGTGGGGAAATCTATTAGGTACTTGATAAAAGACTAAGCTAACACTAATGTGTGAGATGCTTATTACATATGAAAACATGTGTATCAGCACCTTAGAACCAGTACGAGGTTAGAAACTAAACCACACATAAATAGCCAATGTGGTGTTGCATTATAAGAAATGGCAACATAAAGTGTGACTTTTCACAATAGACGATGATATGCCCTTGGGTATCTTTGAAATAAGCAAAGAAACATAAAAAAACAGTTGTGGTTTTTCCTAATTCTCACTGTGATTTATTTTAGGCACTGCGTGTGTCAATGGAGGAGCAGCGCCAGAGGCAGGAGGAGGAGGCCCGCAGAGTTGCTGCTGCTTCTGCCACTGAGGCAGGCGTGCCCACACCCAGCGCAGATGGTGAGTGGAGGACTACAAGTTTGCTTTAACTACACGACCTGGCTGTTAATGTTAATTGTTAGGATTAGACAATGACACTTATTTATTTTTGATTAAATATCCCACAGAATCAGAGGAGGCTTTATTGAAGATGTCAGTGTCTCAGCCTGAGAGCGGTGTAGCCGTGCTTCCTGACTTCAGCAGCATGACAGAGGAGGAGCAGATAGCCTACGCCATGCAGATGTCTCTTGCTGGAGGAGGTGAGTTCCATTTTGATTTTCTAATTTCTCTTGCTATCACTTATGACCACTCTTAGGGGGGCGGCTGTGGCTAAGTGGATAGAGTGCTGGACTTCGAATCAGGGGTCAAATTGCTCCTGTGGGGATTGTCCACAGTATTGAATGTATGTAAGTCGCTTTGGATAAAAGCGTCTAACAAATGACATGTATTGTAATGTCTTATAGTTGCTGGGTTATCTGTTAATTACTTGTTTTTTCTGTGAACAGAGTATGGAGAAATGGACACAGGGGCCCCAATGGACACTGCAGAATCAGCCAAGGTGAGTCATCATATGATGTTTCAAATAAACAATTGTGACATGTTTGAAATGCAAAAAATTAAATCAAAATCCATTTAACTGTAAGATGAAATGCATAGTAGAAACCCATAAATTGCAGAATCAATATTGGACAGTAGGATATTATTCATTACAAAAGAAGACATTATGGTCACTTTTTAAATACAATGTAAGCAGGCCTTGTTTAGGGATTTTAACTTGTATGAATACATAATCCATCAAAATTGATTGTGTCCTTTTATTGTTACAAAATAGGAGGAAGACGACTATGATGTGATGCAAGACCCGGAGTTCCTTCAGAGCGTCCTGGAGAACCTGCCTGGTGTTGACCCCAACAACGAGGCCATCCGCAACGCTATGGGCTCTCTGGCTTCCCAGACTGGAAACAAGCCAGAAGGCAAAAAGGATGAAGAGAAAAAGAAGTGAGGAACAAAAGAGATGGACACAGTCTTCAGACAGCAACTACAAAAATAAAATAAACGGACAATTGCTGACTCATGCAGGATTACTTTACTATACTGAAATATTGCTGATGCATCGTCGGACTGACAGCCCAGCATGAGACCACACTCTGACTTTTATTATTCTAATTTTTTTTGTCAGACACTCAAAAGCACCAATATTTACAGAAATGACGAAAAACCTACAGTACTGAAAGACTTTAGTGTAAAATCTGACTGCCCTATAACATAAATTGATCCTGAAAATGCTATATGGGCCAACTCTCAAATTGCCTTGTATCTACATGATATTATTACTGATCATTTACCTATCGGAAGAGAACATAATTTGGGATGACAGGCTCCTCAATTTAACAGTTAGCCACACTCCTGTCATGTTTCTGTGTGTTTTTGCAATAAAAGCTATATGTAAACATGTTGTGTTTTGGTGTTTTTTGCTGCCCTCAGAACCTGATTTTGATGACAGCTCTGTGAGCAGATTGGGGAGACAATACATTTGTTTTCCTCAAGACCACTGTCCCGAGTTCAAGTGTCTTCTCAAGATGTTAAAAATAGTCTGTTGAGAACATTTAATAAATGTTTAATGTCATTCACGTTAGAATCAGATATACGTGTCGTCTGCAGCATCCTCCGTGTATTTTCCCAGCGCTATCTCAGCCCGATAGGATGGCTCGGGTCATGTGACGGGAAGCACTGCATTTTCAGC